CTGGAGGGTCTTCTGTTGCCAACAAACAAACCTAATCCTCCGCCAGCAATGGAGTCCAAGATTGAGCCCAAGGTTGCAGAAATTGAAACATCACCTGACGAATCTCCAGTGGAGAAGTCTGTGGAAACGGAACCAGCCACAACTGAGGAAGTGACTAAGACTCTCCCCGAAAATAATTCAGTTTAAACATTAGTCTTAAGTTCTTTTGAAAACCAAAAATGTTTTTGTAGCTATAAAAACAAGTAAATACAAAAATCAGAAGCTTTTTATTGTTATTTGCAAATAGGTACAATACCAAAACCAAACCAAGCCTCCTTCTCTCGTTCTTTAACGAAATATATTATATTATATACGGTGCGAAAAAGTAATACTAAACGTGGTACTTAAAATAATATTCTACAAAAACATTGGTTAGCATGACCTTATTGATACAGTAAGGAAGTCATCCCTATTACTCATAATAAATCACCGAAGCATGCACTTTGTGGCGATTAGCGTAATGAGTCGTTGAACGATTATAATCGTATTGATTGGATGACTTTTAGACTCAAGAACTTACTCATGGAAACACATCGTAATCTCACTATGTCTAGATAACTGTAGACTTTTATTTATTAAAGACTAAATAGGTACTGTTAAGATGCGTATTCTCCAACCAAGTCTAAAGTTAGGACTTCGGAATCCACATTCCGGATTAGACTGATTGGACTCGAACTGAGGTTCATCCTCGATCTCAGGTTGGAATCTCTGTTTTGCCTGATCCTTAACAGCCGTTGGTGCTGGCGAGCTTCTTCGATTGGGTAACATTATTCTAGGACATGAGGAGGGTGAAGTCAAAGCAGGTCCAAAGTTGAGCATCTTGGGAAATGGGTAATGTGTAGGTCAAGTCTGAGAAGTACTTGTTCGATCGAACGCGTCTGTAGCTCACCTCCATGATGAAGATGTGCCAGATGTACGCGGAGTAGGACAGCTTCGAGAGGGGCTGCCACAAAGGTGAGGACAGGAAGCTGTTGGCCAAACCTCCGTAGTTCTGAATGCAGGCAAGACCACCCATCAGAGGGCTAATGGCCAACCAGTACGGGTCAGTGTGTAAAAGAGGGCTCGGTTACAAGGCTAATATCGGTGTGAACTTTGGTGACAATATTAAGTTGAGGAAATACAAGACGAGATAAGCTCTTTGGTTAGAAGGTTTCTAATCCATTGGTATAAATAAATTTTGAATTAACTTTGAATTGTTTAAATCAGTGCAATTATCTTTAAGGATATTTGAAAGCAGGTTTAATTACTTTTGATTTCATGGAATTATGAATAGTGATAGTGATAGTGATAGTGTTATCTGATTTGCACTCCGGCATTCTTTCACAAACACTCATTAATCACTTGAGTGCAACTTAATGTTATTTATTGATTGTGCATTTTTGTGGGATTTTTTGTTGATAGATTTTACCCTAAAAACTGTGTCAACTGTTTATTTGTAAGAAATTTAGCCTGGTAGTGTTGTGATATATATATATATATATATAGTATATGTAGTTTTGGTGGAAACCCGTTTAATTTTCATTTACTGGCTACTTCCAATTATTGTTTCATTTATTTTCCCTATAATTTGAACTAGGCCGAACCCCTCCAGCAACTGCAGCTGCTTTTCTTGTTTTTTTATAATCGATATAGTTTTCCATACAACTTTTGTGGTGTACAACAAAAAGTTTTTAGCAAATTGTTTGTCAGTTGTCTGTCGGTTTCTTTGTGCGTTTCCGACAAACGAAGACCGAAAGTCTTTTGGAGAAAAGTTTTCCCAGTGTCTGGGGCATCGGATTGGTTTTGTTGGACATCCTGGTTTTTTTTCAGACTTGGTTACGTTTTGTGGGAAATGGAAATTTAAACGAGTTTTCTCTTTCGTCTAGGTTCCCAGCCAATGTTCGATGGGAGTGGTACAGACCATGGACAGGTTTTTAAGACGCATTATTCACTTTTCTGGGTTATGCAACTATTTCGAATGCTCCGGTACGTCAAGGTTAAAACAAGAAGTAATACTACAGTCAAGTGCACCTACTATGCGGCCTACCTAAACCAACCAAATAAGGTAACATTCCCTACAATTATCAATACTTACTTGCGTTTATTCAGTCGAAGCAAATTTAATATTGGCACTAATTTATACACAAAAATCTCTTTTATCCAGTTCGATGCCAACCGACTGCATGTATGTATATACATCCTAGGTACATTGTAACAAAAAATAGGTTTAAGTGGTTTCGGTGTCACCATCCCATAACTTAGTTCCAAGTTTCCAGCGCAGATATCTTTCCAAACCGAAATTCGGTTGCATTTAGCATGTTCATTAGGGTAATCCATAAAAAACAAGAAAGGAAGCAAACTTCGGCAAGCCGAAGTTCATATACCCTTACAGCTATTTCAACAACTAAATACTCTTGAAAACGTTAAACTTATGATTTACTTGCGTGTATGCTTAAAAACATTGAAGCTATGATGATTTGCAGCTTAAATATTCGATAGTTCCTATGGCAGCTATACGATTGTTCCCATGGGAGCTTTATGTTATAGTCGTCCGATTTTCATGAAATTTTGAAATAATTAACCATTACTATAAGTCGAAGAACTAAAATGAAAATTAAAGAACACCAAAGTTATAATTTTTGTTATTTATTTTTCCGATTGTTCCTATGGGAGCTATATGCAATAGTCGTTCCATCCGGCTCGATCCGACTTATATACTACCTGCAATAGAAAGACAACTTTTGGGAAGGTTTCATGCAGATAGCTTTAAAACTGAGAGACTAGTTTGCGTAGAAACGGACGGACAGACGGGCAGACAGACGGACGGACAGACGGACTTTGCCAGATCGACTCTTCTAGTGATGCTGATCAAGAATATATATACTTTATAGGGTCGGAGATGTCTCCTTCACTGCGTTGCAAACTTCTGACTGAAATTATAATACCCTCTGCAAGGGTATAAAAATGTAGTCGAAAACCAAAGTTTTAGGCCTTACGCAATGGCCTTAATATCGCGGATCCTAAAACGCTTTTTTTCCAACTAATTTGTTCTGGTATGCCTTAAACGCATCAAAGCGCACGCTGGTAAGAGGAATGCCTTAACATTTCCATTTAATTTGGACCACCCTAATGTACATCTTAGGTGTATTTCAACCCTTTTTGTTTGAATAAGAGTTCTATGTCACCCTCGATAATACCTTATGCAAGTATATGAGAAAGCCGGCACTCTCTTGTCGATGTTTTAGAACCTTATAGACCTATCAATTAAACATAATATTTAAGGACTATTTTGTGCATTCAGACTGCCTGACTAAAAGATGCTGTCCTCTGCAAAAATCTACCATTAGATTAGATTTACCCGCAAAAAAAAATTATGTTAGTTTTTACTTTCAATTGGAAATCAGAACATAACAGAACGCATATTTTAGACGCGGGTTCGGAGCAATCTTGGGCCAAAGCAAAACATGTTGACCAACCAGTAAAGCCAATGTCTTATCTGCATACAGAACTGCCACTATACAATCCAAAGCCTTCAAAATTTTCGTCAAATCTTTTTGAAACTCATGCCCCAAAACTGGTTTCCGCGAGTCAATGCGAATGCGAATTGAAAGCGAGAGGTTTCAATTGTCCAGGCCCCCAAGCCCAGTCAGATTTAACAGAGAAAATTCAGTTGCGCCAATAATTATAAAAAAGCCAACGCTGTTAATTACTGTGGAAATGATTAAACATACTACTATATATCTTGAAAATCAAATTCAACAGCCGCAGCCAGACTGAAATGGAAAATTCATATTATTATGAGAGCAAATCGTGACAGCCCCTTGTTGGCATAGTGGTATTAGTTCATTTAAAAAGCAATGTCCTTAAAAATTTGCGAATTGACTGGAAAATCTTAAAATTGAGTACAAAGAAAAACATAATTAATTAATTTGGTCGTCAAATTGTTCTTGTTATAATTGTTGTGTACCCTTGTAGGGATTATATCGTTTTGGCAATCATACATCGTTTTTTACCTACCAACAGTCGATTCAATAAAACTAAAAATTAAAATCTCTGCTTTTATCAAGCTTATTCACGCTGTTCTTTCTAAAATTTGTTTTTCAATCAGTATTTGAAAACTTAAAAACAAACTTTTCCATAATTGAATGCCCTCTAAGTACCCCCAAAACCAAAATGACCTTAAGAGTGCCAAAATGGCCCACAATTTTGAAATAATGACCTAAAAATAAAAACGTTAATACTTCTAAAGTATTAATTATTATGAAGTATCTTCTTAAAACTATATGATTCCACATCTCATATTGTTTCAATTTTTAAATGTGTTGTTTTGTGGTTTAAGGGGCATATTTCATTTCATTTTATTGAAATACAATTTTGAGCAGGCTACAGACGTACATACTTAAAATTGTTAAATGATTTTTGGATAATACATTTTTTTGGGAGAACCAGAACTGCTCAAATTTTCGAAAATGTATTGTATCTAAAGTGCTGGGTGTATTTTGTTGAAAGTTATAACAACAACAATATTTAACAGGCAACATACTTATAATCTGAATTCTGAAATTCTTTCAATGATTTTGATTTTTTGTGTTGATATAAACTGGAGGGGGATCCTGATTTAGGTACATTTTCGAAAATTAAATGTATCTTGGTTATACCACGGTGCGTCTGTGAGCTCAGCTCTTAAAATGCACTGGCCGCTAAGCATTATGCATAGTTTGTGTTGCACTTACGATCTATAAACTGCCGCAAAAGTAGTGCAAAAGTAATTGTTGCCACGCACCGAGCTCGTTGATAACCAACCGTCGGCAGTCGGGGTCTGCGATTACGAGATCCAGACTGCCAGACTGCCATACTGCCAGCTAACCCGTCTAACTAGTTGATTTTGGGGCACTTAATCCACGACGCCCAGGCTCGGACACTCCGGTCGGGTAAAGTCATGCGGCTCGCCCGCTGGCCAGTGCCAGTTCTGATTGGAACGGCCTTACGAGCGGTACGGCCCGCTCACCAATAGCAATAGCAATAGCAATAGCCAACACTCCGGACTGGGATCTGCGCCAGGATGTCAAGCCATTCCCGCCTTTTGTTGTTAATGGCCTTGCTGTTGGCCGTGTTCCTGGGCTCCCTGTCGGCAGATCCTGTTCCGCAGGACACGGCCGGTGGCCAGGACTCGGCGCTGCGGGAGAAACGTGGCACTGTCACCCTGGACTTTGGGCTGCTCCTGCGAAATGTGCTGCTGAAAAGCGCCCAGTTATCCTCGGCCAAGGCGAATTTTGTGAAGACCACTCGACGTCCCGCGACGACGACCACAACCACGGCAGCCCCGCCCCCTCCACCGCCACCGCCGCCGCCACCACGCATCCGGAAACCCCTTTGGCATTCCTTCTTCAGTTCCGGCTTTTTGCCTTTTGATTACGACTACGCCGATCCTCCGGCTCCTCGACCTTCGGCGCCTCCCCCTCCGCCGCCTCCGCCCGCGCCACCCGCGCCACCCGCTCCACAGGCGCCCAAACGCGTCCGACCGCCGTTACGCCCCCTGAGCGCCTTCTACGCCCAGCGGCCAGTGGCACGTCCGCCGCCCCCACCTCCGCCTAACTATGACTACGACTACGACTATGATGCCCCTGCTCCGCCTCCAGCCCCCACTGAAGCACCACCGCCTCCCACAGCTCCGCCACGCCCAAGGCCACGGCCACGCCCTCGTCCGCAGCAGCAACCAGAGCAGCAGCAACCCAATCCTCAACAGCGGCGTCCTGCGCAACTGGGGGATCGCCTTATCTATCAGTACGCACAACCTACTGGTAAAATACGAAACCTTTTAACTAACTGCCGTACAATTGGGTTCTCTCCGACACTTTGCAGATACCTTCTCTAGGTCGCAGGCTGAGGCGGAGGTGGCGGGAGACCCAAATGGTTCCCAAGGAGATTCAGATACGGATACGGATACGAATGCGGATGCTTTTGGTGCTGATGAAGCCGCATCCGATCCCCCTGCACCAGCACCACCTCCCCGATTTTTGGTCAACTACGAGAGCGATGGCGATTTGGATCAACAGGATCAACAGGATCAACCACCTTCGGCTCCTGCTCCACCTGGGAATCCTGCATATCCGGGCGACTACTTCTCATCCTTTGACCTTGGCAGCCTGAATCGCTTCCCGAATCACCAGAATCAGCAGCAGTACTACTTTAAGTAAGCGGTATAGTTTCTTATTACACCTTTTACTTTTATCTTTGTGGCAATCGGTTGAAATGTCAAAGTTCCCAAATATTTTAGCAATTGCATTGCAGCGTGTGCTTAACATTGGCCGTTAACTTTAAATAAATATAAGTAAACATACTTTTACAATTTTTTTATACCCAGTTTGCATTGTCGACGTAACATAGACGGTAAGTTATAATTGAAATAAAGTAATGTTAAAAGGTCTGACTAATTTGTTTTCCAGATCCAATACAATCTTATTATTATTGGCGGCAAGCCAATAAAAATGTAAGGCGAAAATGAAATATTCTTTAAAACATTTAAATTTCGAATTATATGCGTAAATGTTATGATGATTTTTAGCTCAATTATTCGTTCGTTTACATGGCAGCTATATGATATCGATTTCCGATTTGAATAAAATTACTACATCCAAAAGAATTTATAAACAGTTGAAAATTAGATAAAATTAAAAAAATTAGAATTCAAATTTCTATGGTTCCCATGGGAACTAAACCGTAATACTAAAAAAAATAAACCATTACGAAGAACTAACAAAACAATTGAAAAACAGCAAAGTTATATTGTTTTGGTTAATTTTTTTTCGCTATTTTTCCTATGGGAGCTATACGATGCAGCCTCTAATTCTCGTTCCGACCTTTAACTACTACTACTACAACTTTTGGGAAATTTTCATGTTAATAGATTTTAAACTGAGAGACTAGCTTGCGTAGTAACGGACAGACAGACGGACAGAGAAACGGACATGGCTATATCGACTCTTCTAGTGATGCTGATCAAGTATATATATACTTTACAGGGTCGGAAATATCTGCTTTACTGTATTGCAAACTTCTGACTGAAATTATAATACCATCTAAAAAAAAAAAAAAATAAAAGAAACGCCAAAATTCAGAAAAAGGTACTTCAAATCTGATAAAATATCGATACGCTATGGTTCTTATACTAAAATATACTAAATACTGAAACTTCAATTGGCAGAGGTTGAAAATAAGTAAACACCAGTGGAAAACTTTCACTTGAAAAGAGAGAATACAATAAAGTATTTGTATTATCTACAATCGACTAAAAAGAGAGCCTAGATATGTTATTAAGGTCAAGCGTTTTATAAAATATACCAGGACTCATCGATAGTTTTTCTAAGCAATCGATGATCGAACAAAACTCATCGATGCATCGATGGTGCAATCGATGTTTCTCCACCTCTACCGCTTGCTGTGTGTGTGAACTGAACTCAACTTTACGGAATTTAATTAAGCAAACGAAAACGAGTGAAGAAAAGTTGGAAAAGCGTTGCGGAGTGGGGTTTCCGTAGATGGGATCGACATTCCTCTAATTTTCGGCACCTCGAGATGCGTAGCAAGTGCGGAAAAGTGAACGCAAACGCAACGCGTGTGCAGTGCAGGGCAAATCGCAGCAAGGCAAATAACAGCAGCAGCAGGCGTGAAGAAAGCGACGCATGAGGGAAAAATGCATACAGATGCGAAAACCAAGAGCCAGTCGCGCTGATAAACAAGCAAGCACTAATTAATTGCCAAATGTAAGCCCTCCAACACTGCAAGTTTAATTTTTTCGCCAGATTTATGCATTTTCCACTGTCTCTCCATCCCTGTGTGTGCGTGTGTGTGAGTTATAGAGTGTAAGTGTGTGTGTGTGGATACTGTTCTTTTTCGCGTTTGCGTTTGGACCGATAAATTGATTATTTCGCCAATAGACAATATCGGACTATAGTTTTTCCAAAGTGTCAAATAAACAATTGGATCTTGCAGATTTTATGTTCCACTCCCCCTCAATGTGCGAGAAAGAGCAAGCACGAGTCGACCCATACGAATGCGTTTGGATTTTGTGTGTGTATTTGTCTGCTCCCCCGACGAGTGTCAGTGTGTGTGAGTGTGCGGTGTGCAAGCAAAACAAAATTAGGCGATTCAAAACAGTTGCAAAATGTTAAATACGAATTTTTCAATCGTGCTGCACAAATTGGCTACGAAAATCAGTCAATAAACTTATTGGGGCAGGAATAAAAACCAGGCAGAGCAGCATCGTCGGTCTTTTTTTTTTACGCCTTTCTGTGTGTGCTGCGTCCGCACCCAAAAAAAAGGCAACACAAATCAAAACCAAATTGAAGAACTCCCGTTTTCGGCAACAATCGCCATAAAAAAGGGCAAAACAAAAGCCAAAGCCCCAGAAAAAGCACGAATTCAATTGAATTTGTGTCGCCTCAAATGCAAAACAACAAGCAGCCAACCGCACACACATACACATGCACATACAGATACAATGTGTGTGAGAGCGACATGGCTGCTCTTTGTGCAATAGTGTGGCTATGAAAAATAGGCGTGTTTCTGTTTCGCGTCGCAAGTAAATAATTGCAGTCGCACAACGGCGGGCTAATTATCAAGTATTTTGCACAGCTGCGAGTTAGAAGCCGGAGCGCAAAGTCGCCGAGATCCGCGTTGAAAGCCGGCGGATATCCGCAGACGCCCGCAAAACGCCTCCGCATGCACATGTGTGTGTGTGTGTGTGTGTGGATTCGCAACGGCGACAAATGCACCCCTTTAGTGCCGTTACTCCTTGTCAGCGTGTGTGCCTGTGTGTGCGTCTAAGGGCTCGGCCATGGCGCCTATACATACCCTACAGCACGTGTGAATACCCTATAATGGTCAACTTGGCAACCGATAACACCCCCACATCACTTGCGCATCCCTCCAACAACCTACAAAGCCCCCACATTTTTCGGGGACCAGCCATGGCGACTTTTACAAATCCCTTACCTACAAATCCCTATAATAGTCTGGAATATCCAGCAAAGCCGGTCAAAAAAACAGCTGACAGACGAGAGCCACCTCATCTTTAAGTTGGTAACAAGCTAAGGAAAATAGCCATAAAAGAGGCCAGCAGGTAAAATATTTGCGATAAGGCCCGTGCTGCGTGTGGAATGCTGAATTGTGAATGATTTGTACAGTATGTGTGAGCGTGAATCACTTGATCGATTTGGTGATAGTCGGCTTTTGGCTTTTCCCGTCCAGTCGCTGTCCAAAACACACCGATCAGGCCGCTTGCACCCCCCACTTACCACTACCGTTACCAGTGCTTCAGACCGAAATCCCCAAAATCTCGAGCCCTTTTTGAAAATGACTAAGTGACTGGCGCAGACTGTGCCTGGGACTGAGACTGACTAACTGGAATTGCCTTCTTTTCGCCCCGTCTCCTCGATTGCACACAGACCTTCCAACCCAGCCGAGTCGACCACTGGAACTGCAGACGAAGAGCAGGCGGGACCACTGAGTGAGCTGGGCTAGAGCATGAGAGACAGCCATGCCTTCGGCACGACCTGGTAGTCTCAAGGATCCGGAAATAGCCGACCTGTTCAACAAGCATGACCCGGAGAAGATATTCGAGGACCTGCGCGAAATCGGCCATGGGTCGTTCGGAGCGGTCTATTATGCCCGCTGCAACCTCACCAAGGAGATCGTGGCCATTAAGAAGATGTCCTACACCGGCAAGCAGAGCCAGGAGAAGTGGCAGGACATTCTCAAAGAGATACGGTGAGTGCTGACACTTGGATCCTTGAACTGCAAACACAGATATAAGCCGAACTAATCGACCATTGTCGTTGACAGCTTTCTTCGCCAATTGAATCACCCAAACACCATCGAATACAAGGGATGCTATCTGCGCGAGTCGACCGCCTGGCTGGTGATGGAGTACTGTGTGGGCTCCGCATCGGACATCATCGAGGTGCACAAGAAGCCGCTGCACGAGGACGAGATCGCCGCCATTTGCCTGGGCGTGCTCAGTGGCCTGAGCTATCTGCACTCGCTGGGGCGCATCCATCGCGACATCAAGGCGGGCAACATTCTGCTCACGGACAACGGCGTCGTCAAGCTGGCCGACTTTGGCAGCGCCGCCATTAAGTGTCCGGCCAACAGCTTCGTCGGCACGCCCTACTGGATGGCCCCCGAGGTGATTCTGGCCATGGACGAGGGCCAGTACGACGGCAAGGTGGACGTGTGGTCGCTGGGCATCACCTGCATCGAGCTGGCGGAGCGCAAGCCGCCGTACTTTAACATGAACGCCATGTCGGCGCTCTACCACATTGCCCAGAACGAATCGCCGACCCTTCCGGTGAGTGGGTACCGCAATATATATCCATATATTAATGTGTTATTTGGGGACTGCCTTTATTTAAATTAATTGTTAAGCTTAACTTGATGATGGAAAAATGACAAAGATTAGTTTTCAAAGCTTATAGTTATCTGCAAAGTATGTAATCCCTACTCAATATAACATACATTATACATTCAAATAATTCAGTATTTAGTATCCAAATCTAATATGCTATATTGTCAACAAGGCTTTAATCCGAAAACTTGATGAAATTTCACTTTCTCAAATTGTATCACGGTCTAACTAATTACTCATCGACTGAAATGGAATGAGTCTTTACTTATCAATCCATTTTTCAGCTCACAAATGAGTTTTTATTTTTATGAAGTTACTGGGGTTATATGAATTTCAACAACTGTACAAAATCTAAACCCAACTATTTTATTTAACGCCTGCAGAAGAACGACTGGTCGGACGCGTTCTGCAGCTTTGTCGAACTGTGCCTCAAGAAGATGCCAGCGGAGCGACCCTCGTCGGCCAAGCTGCTGACCCACGCCTACGTGACCCGACCGCGCTCCGACACCGTGCTGCTGGAGCTGATCGCACGCACCAAGTCAGCCGTGCGCGAGCTGGACAACCTCAACTACCGCAAGATGAAGAAGATACTCATGGTGGACACCTGCGAGACGGAGAGCGCCGTGGGCGATGCCGACGACCAACAGGATGACCATGCCGGCGGCGATAGCAGCAAGAGCAATAGTATTACTTCGGAACACTCCATACACTCGGTGGGTGTATCGGCGGCCAGTAGTCAGGTGAGGATCCACATCAATTCTCTCCCTTTGTTTGTGCAGAGCCTTACGTTCTTCGATTTTCGTCCTTTGCAGAGCTCCTCATCCAATTCCATACCGGCTGCGGCCCAGAATCATCACCATATCGCTGCGCACCACCACCAACAGGCGGCCAACGCTGCTGTGGCGGCAGCAATGCAGCACCACCATCACCATCCACACCAGCAGCAGCCACCGCCCAGCTGGCCCAGCGGCCAACAGCAGGGGCAGCCGGTTCCGCCCGGAGCCGTGTCCCGCAACTCGTCTCGCCATCGTAACCGGCCGCCGCTGCCCAACATAATGCACAGCATGAACAACAATGTGACGCCAACCAACTCGGCGTCGGTGGTGCCGGCACCAGCGCCTGCTCCGGTGCCCCCGCTGGTGGATCGCATACAGCCCATCCAGCCGCGCTATCTGACGACGCCCGCAGCCCAGGCGGCCGTTTACGCGGCCAGTTCGGCATCCTCGCAACAGGCCATCTCCAATGCAGTCAACGATCACGGGCCCAACAACTTCGCCACCATACGCACCACCAGTATTGTGACCAAGCAGCAGAAGGAGCACATGCAGGTGCGTTGTCGCTTCGTTTCGTTTGTTTCGTTTGTTTCGTTTCGTTTCGTTTTCTTGATACTCCACTCCCGCCTTGGCCGTAGATTTCTGTGTGCGTGCTCTTTTGTTGGGTTGAGTCCAGGAGGGGAGTCGCCTGGCTGCAGCATAGACAATCCACCTCCATATGGACATTCGATAGGCACCGATTGCATTCCCATTTCCATCCCCATCCCCCCATCCTGCGCAGCCTGTGTGTGTAATCCGTCCTCAAAAGACAACGCATCAATGGTCGGGAATCATCCTTAGGCTAGCCAAACAACCATTCCCCCTCCTCGCTCGCTGCTACGCTTCTGCTACCCCCATGTCTTCTAACTTTTGCCCTCTACTACAAGCTCTCTTTGTTGTGTTTATTGTTTTCCTCCCGCATCCTCGAACAGGCGCGCTATAACTTCTGTTCGCAGCTGTGTGGTGGCGACCACATCAACAGCGAATGCCGCGACGGCAGCCGGCGGAGGGAGAGCAAGCAAAAGATCGGCCAAGCCACCAAGAAAGACCCGAAACGCCACTGTCCTTGTGTAATTTCCTAGCAAGTGCTTCGGATCAGGCGCCAATCAATTGTGAAATAAACGATTTAATAGCAGTCGGTGCCGTTACCTCACCATCTACTTGCTGTTCTTACTGTAGTTAGCCGTTAATCTGTTGCAATTGCATCCTCCTCCGCCATTACATTCCAATCGCCAATCGTCTCCTGTTCTCGTTCCCAAACACCCCACAAATCCTGGCCATTGACACACAACCCTCATGGCATAACACGCATCTGTTTTCCGTGTCTTTCGACTGTAAGCATATACTATTTGTCGTTAATTGTTTCATTTTAAGAAAGGTATCTAGGCCAGTCCATAGAGCACACTTCACCATTGGAGGTCAGATGCATTTGCCATACTCTAGTAGCTTTGTCACTTGGCTGACGCCTTTTTGGGGGCTTTTATTCAGGTGCTGTCTTGGCAGAATATCTATTCCGTCAAAAACGTGTATTTGTCACATCAATAATTTTTAAATATGATATATCTGAGAATCATCAATTCCTTACCGTTTATCTTTTTGTTGGTCCTCACTGTTCACTATTCAAATTGAAATCATTTTTTTTAGCCTGCAATAAGTTTTAGCTAAATGTTTACTCAACTTTGAACTTTGTCTCTGCTTTATTAAAAACAAAAAAAAAAGCGCTCTACACATTCATATTGATTGCCTGTTTTATAGATGTTAATATGAAAAAAAAAAAATCAATTTAATTGAACATTTCAATACTATTTTTGTAACACGATTTAAAATTTTTCGCAAAATAGTCCTCACTTAATAATCTAAAGATCATGGTAGATCGTGCAAATAGCTATATAATCAGAGTGTGTATAGTTTTGCCATTATTTTGATGGACTTGTGCCTTGCCTTGATGAAACAACTTGATTGCCAAACGCACGTCGTTTTAAGGATGCTTACCATATGATTTTTCAGAATCTGACAACTCCTAAGACTGTTATTTATTCATATGTCCTTTATATTGAGAAAAATACTATTTTCTTTGGTAAAATTGAATAATTATAAACATTGAATTAGGAAATAAGGTATTTTACGTGAACATGAATTTTGATTGTGTTTACTCATTCTATTCGAATAGCGACTTTCCATTACAATACCAATTAACCATCGGATATTCCAGTTGGAAATGTCTTACATTGTTTACAACTGTTATGAGGTAACACTGTTAGGAGACGATCCACACGATCCTCACACGATCCACACGATCCTCGCAGCCCCCGATAAGGTCACACTAGACTAAACCAAGCTTCAAACCACATTCGACATTAAAAACGGGAGTTGCTTAAGCTTGGCTTGCCTGTTGGAAAAATAGTAGAACTATTGCATTTCCCGCTGCAGCAACTCGTTTGCCTTTTTGCCTAAACGAAACAAAACGTAGCTAGTGTGCTTAGAGTCCGTAAACGGAAGCCCAAAGCCCGGAGGAGCCATGATTTGGCCGAGGTTTGCGCCCGTTGAGGTTATGGTTGAGATGCAGTTCGTCAGCGGTTTTGTAAGTTACAGTTAGTTGTCGCAGAAGTAGTGTTAAAGTGGCCGTAGTAGTGGTCAAGAAAAGAAAAAAAGAAGATGCTGCTCCATTTCACATTTCCACGCCTCTAACCATGTGTGCATTCTCTGCCCCCCTGTGCACCATCACTCGCGATCCGCGATACAGGAGGAGATGCACGAGCAGATGTCCGGCTACAAGCGGATGCGGCGCGAGCACCAGGCGCACCTGGTCAAACTGGAGGAGAAGTGCAAGGTGGATATGGAGGCGCACAAGACGGCCCTGGACAAAGAGTACGATACACTGCTGCATAACTTCACCAGGGACCTCGAGCGGCTTGAGGTGAGTTTGGGTTTGGGATTGGAAGTGGTCGTGGGTTCATTAACCAACCATTTGATCCATTGCAGACCAAGCACCAGCAGGACGTGGAACGGCGATCGAAACAGACGAGCGCCGCCGAGAAGAAACTACACAAAGAGATTACGCTGAAGCAGGAGGGCGACCGAAAGGTGTATGACCTCAATCGCAAGAAGGAGTACAAGGCGAACAAGGAGCGCTGGAAGCGGGAGCTCTCCATGGACGAGTCCACGCCCAAGCGGCAGCGCGATCTGACCCTGCAGTCGCAGAAGGACAACCTGAAGCAGCACGAAGCTCAGGAGGAGCAGCGGATGCTGCAGGCGCAGAAGCAGTACATCGAGTTGGAGATGCGAAAGTTCAAGCGCAAGCGCATGATCATGCAGCACGAGCACGAGGACCAGCAGCTCCGCGATGTAAGGACCCGGATGATGACACCAGTTGGCACCAAAACTAGTCCTCTAACCCAATGCTTTGCCTTTTGCAGGAGCTCGGAAAGAAGGAGCAGCAGCTGCAGCAGGCGCACGAAATGCTCGTTAGGCACCACGAAAAGACACAGGAGCTGGAGTACCGCCAGCAGAAGAGCGTGCACCAGCTGCGCGAGGAGCAGGTGAGTTTCCTGCGGCCACAGCTTTGAGAATCCCAGAATGCGAATCATCCATCATCCTTTCCAACCGCAGATAAACAAGCAACACGACACAGAGTTGCACAATCAAAAAGACTACATGGACCGCATCAAGAAGGAGCTGGTGCGCAAGCATGCGGTCGAGCTAAGGCAACAGCCCAAGAGCTTGAAGGTATGTATTGTGTGCTCCGCGCAGAGGAGCAGATTGCAATTTAATTACTAATTGAATTGTTGCCTCGCCCTGAGCAGCAAAAGGAGCTCCAGATACGCAAGCAGTTCCGGGAAACTTGCAAGACGCAGACGAAGCAATACAAGCGCTACAAGGCGCAAGTGCTGCAGACGACACCAAAGGATCAACAAAAGGAGGTCATCAAGCAGCTGAAAGAAGAAAAGCATCGCAAGCTGACGCTGTTGGGCGAACAGGTGCGTTAAGTCAACTGCAGGTGTATAACAAATTGTGTTTAATTAGCAGCCAAATCGATTATAAAGGTTACAACTCCTCAGCTCAAGTTACTTGGCTTAGGAACTAATAAAACTAGGGCGTAGTTATGAATTGCAATTAGCTTAACCTAACCAAATCAATTTCATTGCAGTACGAGCAAAGCATTGCGGATATGTTCCAAAGTCAGAGCTACAAACTAGACGAAAGCCAAGTGATCGAGTGCCAACGTACCCACGAGCAGCTGGAGTACGAGCTGGAGATGCTCACTGCCTACCAGAACAAGAACAAGAAGCAGGCGCAGGAGCAGCGCGATCGCGAGCGCCGGGAGCTGGAGAACCGCGTCAGCGTGCGGCGAGGTCTGCTCGAGAACAAGGTGAGCCAATGCCAGAATTAAACTGCTTGCACATGACCAAACTGACATCGATATCGATATGGGGATCTCTTCACAGATGGACGCCGAGTTGCAGCAATTCAACCAGGAACGGCTAGAGCGCTTGCACATGAAACGCGAGAAGCATACTAAAGAATTGGAAGCATTTGATAACGAATCAATTGCCTTAGGTTTCAGGTAATTGCCACTGACTTTCGAAAAGAGTTTTCAAACTAATTGCAGTGTCCTTGCAGCACTTTATCACTAGTTGAGGTCTCCCGTGAAGCCTATGCAGATGAGGAGGGAAGTCTATCTGGTTCAATGATTAGTTTAGCCCATAGCAATAGTTCAACAAGTTTTCCGGCTGGCTCGCTATAGCATAGACAACAACAACACGGCCAGCCACAACAACAAGTGTTTAGTAATATAAACTACTTCAATTTTAATGGAAATTATAAAGCCAATAGTACGACACCAACATCAACAACAACAACAACAACTAGAACTCGACAAAAGCAACAAAGATCGCAGCTTAAACATCAACAATAGCAGAAACAGACAGTCCTGGCTAGCAATGTTTTTGTAGGATCATGAACAGAAATCAATTAACATATTGGTTGCATAAAGAACATGAAACATGAAAAATGAAACCCCAAGTATTTTCTAAAAGTTACAACAAGCAAAAGCTGCAATAGTTTTGTATTAAAGGAAATTCGATTGAAGAAGGCAACAAGATACTAACATTTGAAATCATTTAATACAAGATCAATCAAAAACAAAGAAAAAACAAACATAAATAAATAATTATATATGTAAGCAAAATGTCATACACAAACCATAACACAACAAAACAAACAAACAAGCAAACAAAGAACATCAAACTTTGATATGCAAAGTGTTTAAATTTACGTTTAAATTCTTACTTGATATTATTACCGAATAACTAAATCAATCAATCACCATTTTGATTCGTTAACCATTTATATTTGCGCTCTCGCAATGCAAAAATGTCACTAAAAAAATTAGGTGTGTATTATTTGTTAAAACTCGCGGAAAATAGATCGTTCATTCAGATCGCATTCGAGTTTGTATGATTTTTAAATGTTATTTTCAATTGATAGTCGACGTGATCTGCGATCGCAGTTCCAGGCACACATAGATTGCCATCTTTGCATGTTGTTAGGTTCAACATTTTCGATTTACGTTATGTTTTTCTTATTTTGACTCGATTCAAATAAAAAGTATTTTTTTAAAAAGAAAAAAATATTACATTTATTATTTTATTTGCTGTACAATAAGTTTTATGGCCAAAATTATTATAAACCCAGCAAATATTTAAACGCAAAAAGAGTAACTTTGTTTACAATTAATTTAGTTTTGTTTGTTATAACAAAAAGGATATAATATATATATATAACTAAAATAAGCCTATTTTAGAGTTAATTAATGCAAATTGCAAAATGCTTAGTCAAAACAATAAAAATTGTATAGAAAATTAAAGTATACAAACGTTTAATTATTTAATGATTTATGTTTACGTGGAAATATTATTTTCCTTCAGTCGCATGTTGATTCAAAATAACGGAAACACACAACACACACCTACAGACAAACAAACAAACATCTACATTTATGAAGGAAATCCATAAAAAAATAAAATGCTCGGCAAATGCTAAGAAATGTAGCAAAAAAATTTTACTAAACCACATTGAATGAAGAAAAAAAAAACCAACCATATATTTCCGTTAGTCATTAATTAAATTAAATTTAATAAAAATTTCTATAATTACAGTGGAGGGAAAGATGGAAGGAATGGGAATAAATTTTCGGTAATTTGGTTGATATATTGGAAGTTCGAGGTACCAATGATGTATGCGATAACCACGATGATCATTATTACTATTATGGAGGCGTATTATTTTGGTATATATATTAACCTATATAGAAAACATGAGCGAAATGAAGGTAAACACGATAACGAGAGAGATAGAGATAGCTAAACAGAAGCACGGGGAACACAATATATGTAATAATTTTTATGTTTATAAAATTGTTTTTTTTTTATTATTATAATTATATGAATATAAATTGTATTTTTGCAATTATGGTAAATGAAGATGGAAAACGAATAACAATTAAATTGATGCACGTCAATGTCAATAAAATAAAAATAAAACTTATTTCAAAATACACCATCCCTTAGTTCGTGTTCTGCTTTGTGGGACATACACTTGCCAACTGAAGTTTTGGGTAGGATCACGTATTCATTAAGGACAATGAATACAAACGTTTCTGCAGCATGTTTATGTATAACTCTGATCTATTTTTATTGTATTTAATAAACCATCTTTGTTCCACTCGTCGAGAAATGACAAATACATTTTTTATTAAAATCCCTTTAGGAAAGAAGTCCTTTTTTATTAAAATTCAATCTGGATTGATGAATTTATTCATTATATGTATATAATGACTAATTTCGTTTTGTTATTTAAAAGACTTCCTATCTGTAGCCCAAATGAGCTGCTTAGTTTTAGCGCAAATGTGGTTATGTTCCAGGTTTTCAATTGAGAAGGAATTGTTTTTCAAATACCCAAGATTATAGTCCCCATGAGAAATTTGTGAATCCAATCAAAGTTTTAAGTATTTATGATTCATATAAGATTTGCTACTATTACACAGACTGGTAGGAACATATTAAACAACAGGTAGGAAAAACCATTGGTTTCGATCACGAAGAACTTCTTGATTTTATGGGATTTGAAATATATAACTAGCAAATTGCAATGTTTTTTCATTTATTTCAAATTTGAATCAATGATTACATTTTATATCGTGTTGAATTACTTCTAAGAATTATATTTCAAGCCGTCATAATGTCATTACCCACTACAATTATAGTCGCCTTATAAATAAATACCCTTTCCTTTTTGATTGATTATACATCTAGATGAGAATATTCAACGAAAATAATCTCTATTTACTTTGGTGTCTGAAAAGAAAATAAACTTCTTTAGCTAAGATTTTTAATTCCTTTAAATTAATTTTATTTATTATTTTTAACACCCCTGCCAGTCTAGTTTCAGTTCAAAAATGTTGTTTTGTGAATGAATATTGTGTAAGAGCCATCCAATTCAGCCAGTCCATTGCAAAGGTGAGTAAATTTAAAATACAAAAATAATATTAAGTTACTTGTCATTGAGGAAATCTTCAATGTCTTTGCTTTTAATTACAATAAACTTGAGTACACCGAATTATTTAATTAATATGTTGCCCAAACATAGACATCTTACAATCAATGGAATAGATGAACATCCAAAAACACACGCATCGCTTGGAATATGGGACCACCGACTTATATATCGATTATGCGGTTAAATAACTTTGTAATTTTTGTAACTGGTTAGATAATACAATATAACATTGACTAAATACTTTATTTTGACAATATTTTCCTTGCACAAACTTGAATTAAGTTAATTTGGAATCATTTTCACTTAAGACTACAATTTAGGAATATATACACATTTTATATACGGTACATATAGAATACGAAATAAATGCCGCAATCGAAAAATATATGTATTATGGTTTCGCATGTGCCAGGGTATTCGCAATGGCCATGTCCTTGCACACTGGACGTTAATCCGCATTCCAAATCGCCGCGCTGCGCCGCTTGCCCTTCCTTTTGAGCCTTGGCTTCAGCGGTATCGACGCGTTTCATCCACGTGCCAGCCCGTGGTCGTTGGACAGGCGATGGGCCTCCAATCGGCTCAGCCGCCGCCCTCACGAGCTCATCAGGCTGTCCAGGAAGGAGTGCTTGTTCACGACCTTCGTGGTGGCAATGAGGAACTCCACGTTGTTGTCCTCCTGGGCGGCCAGAAAGCGCAGTGCGGCGATCTCGGCGAAGGTGCATCCGCCCACGAAGCAGACCAGCACCACACGTGGCACGTTTAGCAGCGATCCCTCCGTGACCGTGGTGCCCGTGTGGCGTCCGCCGATCCCCACCAGCTGCGCCTGGAAGTCCTCGAACGTCGGACCGGGCAGGTTGGTGATCTGGCTCTTAAGCGACTGCCAGCCCAATGGCTTGAGCGAGTGCTCCACGAGGCGAGCGGTCAGCGGAGCGTAGAAACTGTGCACGTAGCTGATGTCCTTCGGCTCCACCTCCACATTGTCGTCCACGGTGAGATGCAGGGTCTGTGAGAGAGAAAGGGTTCTTTAGTAAATCAGCAAAGAAGACTCCCTTTGACAACCCTATCGGATTTCAATTTCAAATGTACGCATTAACAGAATAATCCTGAATCGGGAATAACTATACCGAGCTGTTAAACAAATTCTTCCTGATTCTGAATACATAATCCCCTATTTTTCTTTAGGCTTTTGTTTACGGAAAGTTTGATGAAGCCTTTACTTTTATTGTTTTTTATTTCGATTCGGCTTTAATAATATAATAATAGCTTTAATTAGAAGATTATAAACAATTATCAGAGTGCAATAACTCAAAAGTGGAAGAAAGGTTTTCAACAAAAATCACTTGATCACAACTTTGCATTATTTTGATTTAAAATGTACTTTTTTGAAAACACTAACAAAGTAATAATAATTTTTAATACACCCTGATTCGTTTGGTTATAGCCCTTTCGTTTTATAAATTTCGTTTCAACCATTTCTTCTTTATCACCATCACATAAACTCCTGTTCTGGTTTTAAGCATCGAACGACGAAGAATTGGTTTATATAGGTTTAATGAAACGTTTAGTTATTTTGTTTTTGATTTCGACACTATTAAAATATGAAAATGTTTAAATTATAAGAAATGTTTGGAGTTGAAATCATTAAGGTTATACAAAATTAAGATTAAGCGAAAATGGTTTCTCCAATATATGGTTTTTGGTAAAGACGTATACTAAAACTTTTTGACAAGCTACTTGCGTAGTTAACTTTGTATAGACGGTTTTCTTAAAACAAAAAATGTCATAAGATTACGGGATGTTTAATAGAGTTCTGGATGCGACGGCTTACCTTTCGCAGCACGCTGTAGGCCCGTGACTCCGTCTGCAGATGGAGGAGGCCGGACTTTTCCAAGTTGCTGATGGTGAGCAGCACTTCGAGGCCGTAGACATGGACCAACTCGCGCTTGTAGTGGTTGAGCAGCTTCTCCTTGAACCCGGAGGCGGCGGTGCACTGGAGGCAGATGAGCCGCAGCACACGACGCAGCTCCACCTTGCTGGCGATCAGGTCCTCAATGTAGGCGCTTGGCTTGTCAAGGTCCGCGCAGACCATGAACTCCTGCTCGGCGGCCAAGTCGTCGGCGAAGCTCACCGCGTTCACCTGCTCGTGCAGCAGTCCGGCGATGGCTGTGTGCTCCGAGGTGGCCTTCTTCTGGACCATCAACTGCGGCAGCAGGTTCTCCACGAAGCTCTTGATCTCCTGCACACTCTTGTCCTGCGAGGTGGCGTGCATCTGGTTGTGGATTTCGCGTGCCTTGCGGGCGAGCAGCTTGGTGACCTCGTTGAAGTGCTTGTTTCGCAGCTCCGCGTACAACTGTTCCCCGGAGTGAAGGAGTATGGTCTTCTTCTCAGAGTCGCCCAGCAGGGATTGCGATTCCTCGATCCTCGGGCCACTGCCATTGCCTCCCCCTCCAACTCCGACTCCGCCAATGGAGCCGTCGGAGGGAAAGTTCTCGGCAGACAGCTTCAGCTTGTTCTGCCGGATGCCGTAGAATTCATCGACGAGCCCCTCGTATGTGAGCTGTGTGGCCAGCGGGCTGAGCAGGTCGATGCCCCTGTCGAGCAGGATCAACTGGTCGACGACGCCCTTGTCGCCATTGTACAGCGTCCGTTCGTCCCGGCCCAGCTGCTTGGCATGCTCCCAGACCCTGTGCGCGAACTCGCCCTTGCCGTAGATCTTGGGAATGCGTCCGTAGAGCCGCTGCAGCTGCACCAGACCCACAGCTGCCTGGTACAGCGAACTGGTGTCGCCGTCCACGCTGACGTCGCGGAATGCGTTGGGCAGCTCCATGGACACCACGTCGGCATCGAGCGGCAGGTAGTTCCAGGCCAGCTCCTCGATGCGCCCGAAGCTGCCCAGCACGCCGCTTACCTCCAGTTGGCTAATGCACAGGCAGGAGCGACGGGGCGCGAACAGAATGTGGTACTGGCGTCCGGTCGCCGAGCGTCCGCCGGCCTTCACGTGGGCGGCCAGCTGCTCCATGAGCGCCACTCGAGGGCGCACCACATACACCACGTTGGCCACCTCCCGCGGCAGGTGGAGCTCCGGCTTGAGGGCCAGCAGTCGGATGCCCCGATCGGCAAAGAGTTTCGGCCGAGTGACGAGGTCCAGCGGACCGATCATTTCCTCGTCCAGCACAATGACCTTGGAGCCCTCGATGCGCTCCAACAGCTGCACCAGTTCGCGGCAGGCGGCCTCCTGCAGCAGCTGCAGGTTGACCCGCTGTCCGTGACCCTTTAAGTGGGGGAACATGCTCCTGGCCTTGCAAAACGAGTGCTTCACTTTACTTCACTGGTGGCTACCGGTTGGCGGCGATGCCCGTATCCTAATCCTTGGTGACTCGACTCGGTGCGTTGGCGGGCTGCTGCTGCTGCAACGCCCACGAATTTCGGCTGCTGACGATCAGGACCGCGAGTGTGGGCGGGCGTTCAATAGCAGCTGATTGCGGGCTGCGCCTGCGCCCATCAGTGGGACCGTAGCCATCGGACACGAAAATCCCTTTTTTACGACCACACTCTGCTCCAGTTTTATGCAGCATTTCCACTGACGCACGTCCGCTATTCAAATCAAAACCAACAGGGAAGCAAACTTCGGTAAGTCGAAGAATACATGTGTACCCCTTGCAGTTATGGCAAAAATGGATTTTTTTTAAAAACCACTATATTTCGATTTTTATGCGTTTATGTTTCAAAGCAGTTCCTACGTATACTGTTGTCCGATTTATAAAAATCCATTGTATGTATATCCCGGAATAACAGCATTTATTTGTCTTACTGTTCCTATTGGACAGACGAACATGGCTAGCAATGCTGATCAAGACTTTACATTTTTTTTTAATATTCCTACTAGTACTTATATAAATATATCCATGATCTCAAATAATGCCCCAATTGATACTGTACTGATTTTATAATCTTCGATAGAATGCTTACAATAGCATAGGCCAAATAAGACAGCGTCGTCTGTTCACTCAATAAAAAGGGAGCAACTGAACTTGTTCACAAAAGTAAGTGAATATTACTTAGTAAATATACACATTAATATAATTGTTCTTAGAAATGTTTTAAACAGTTGTAGATTACAATAATATAATAAATATTTCAATAATATAACAATACTTATCCTAGTTGAGCGGAAGAATATAGGTGCTGATGCTCTTACAGTCTAGTTAGTTTTTCTTTTTGAATTTAAAAAAAGCTTTGTCAAATAATGAGGTTTATATCATTAATTGCTTAAATAAATAATTTACTTTTTGGTGTCAATATTCCGTCAGAAGGACATTCATGTCTAACAAACGAACTCTGCTGAACGCGCCCACTTTTCTACCGTGACCAGTGTTACCACATCCTAAAAAATTAAATATCAACTGCCGTGTTGTGATGCAAATTTGCTGCCAGTTGTTTACGCCGCTTTTATTTGATTTTATTTGCTTGCCCCGACATGGCGACCAACTAAAATGAGTGTTTGCACTGCTACAAAGGATCAAATTAGGAAGGAGACAACCGGCAGCTGACAACCCTGTTCTCGCACTCAACCGAAACAAAAAAGGAGAGCCACTCAAAATTTCACTCGATTTTTGGCGATTCGGCTGGCAATTAACTGTAAACAGCGAAGGAATAGCCCAAAACTGTAAATCGCAACTGCAGCGATGAGTAAAACCGATCCGGTGCGCCAAGTGCTCGCCAATTTGATTCTCGAGACGGAGTGAGTGATTGTCTGCACAGGTGGCCAGTTTGTTAGACGGCGCTAAATCGCTTCTCCCCTCTTCTTCTTCTTCTTCTTCTTCTTCAATTTCCTTTTTTTGCATCCTCCATTTTGGGAACGACATCGGCAGGGCGCCATATACGCCGGACGGCATCCTTCGAGAGTTCCTGGCCATCCACGATAAGCGTCTGTCCGTGAACGAGCTGCTCAAGCTGCTGATAACCATCAGCGTGAAGAGGCCCAACTTCGAGGAGGTGACCGCCGAGATAAGGCAGATTCTGAAGAGGTGAGTCTGGTGGGGCTCCTGGCTGTTGCAATCTGTATCTCCTCCATCCGCGCATCCCCTCCAGGAGGGACCCCATGTACGCACTGCTCGTCTTCGCCGAACGATACAGTGAGGACGGTCTAAGCTTCCGTTCCAGTACGCAGAGCAACGATATGACGTCAGTGACCAACTCGCCGCTTCGGGGCAAGGCCTTGCCGGATGTGCACGCTTCTATGACCTCCATGGCCTCCATGGCCTCCTTGGCCTCCGTGGTCTCCGTTTCCACTGCCTGCACTTCCCGAGGAAATCTGGCCGATACAGAGTCTCAGGGCATTCCCACTTCGACACCGGTGAACAGCAGAAGGTCCGGCGACACCGAGACCAGCTCCAGCGGCGGAGTCTTCGCCAGGCGGCGCACCTTGCAGCCGCCACGGCACCAGGGGTCAAGCAAGGAGGAGCGCGACGATTTGAGTTTGGTAAGATCTTGAGATCATAAGAGCTTGTCAGTCAACCAATCCAACCTCTACCAATCCAATCACAATCAGATCAAGGAGCGAGTGCTGAATGCCGTGTCCAGCCCATCGCTGAGCACCTACCGTTCGCTGACCAGTGAAGCAGCCAGCTGCAAAACGGCCAGCACTCTCAACACAGCGGCGATTCCTGTAGTAACGCCAACAGGCGTGCCCGACGAGTACCGCACCAATTTGCTGTGGGACTACTACAAGGTGGACGCGAACCAGCTCCCCAAGCCAGAGCTTGCAGCCATGCCGTTGGTCAGCCAACAGCAGGTGATTCTCGATGAGCTGCTGCACTGCCTCACCGGCGTGCGCGAGAACTTTGTGGTGCCCGCTGTGCCCGATCCTAATCGCGTGGGCCTGGCCAGATACGAGACGGTCTTCACCGTACACGCGCATCTGGACCGCTCGCTGGCGGAGCTGGTGCAGGAAGTCCTGCCACTGGCCTCCCACTTCATGGGCATCCAGAAGATCGTCACAGCCACCGACGGCCAGGGTCAGGTCATCGATTCGCTGAATGAGGCACTGCAGGAGCTTACCTACGACTTCTACGTAAGAGTTCTGCATCCCTGTCTCCAGCAAGTGCCCAACTAACTGATCACTCTCGTCCCGAATCTAGTTGTTGATGGTTCAGGCCGAACAGGAGCTGCGCCAACAGCAGCTGACCATACAGAAGCTGCTCTACTACATGCAGCCGACGCTCTGGGTAATGGAGGAGATCTGGAAGACGTTGGTGGACATCCAGCTAAACGGGCATCGGGGTGCCGCAGTGCTGACACTCCTGCACGAGCGGATCAAGCGGCTGGAAGGCGACCGGTCAGCCCAGAAACTGATCATCGGTTTGATGCGCAAGGCGGCCGAGCCGTATATGCAAATGCTAAAACTCTGGATTCAGAAGGGCGTAATCGTGGACCGCAACCAGGAGTTCCTCGTGGAGGACAACGAGGTGATCCACCGCGATGAGCTGCCCGAGCACTATTCGGACGACTACTGGGAGAAGCGCTACACCGTTCGCCGCGACCAGATACCAGCGTTCCTGGAAAAGTACTCGGACAAGATCCTGCGCACCGGCAAGTACCTCAATGTGATCCGGCAGTGCGGCAAGCGGGTGATGCCCACACAGCAGATGCACCTTGAGTTCGATCCGACCAGCGAGCGCCACGTAACCGTGATCAATGATGCCTACTACTTTGCCGCGCGAATGCTGCTCGACGTGCTGCTGACGGAGAACGACCTGATGGGCCACCTGCAGTCGGTGAAGCGCTACCTTCTGCTCAACCAGGGCGACTTTTCCATGCAGTTCATGGACGCCTGCGAGGACGAGCTGTCCAAGAACGTCGATCAGGTGCTGCCCATGACGCTGGAGAACCTGCTGGGGCTCACCCTACGCCTCTCCTCCGCCCGCAACGATCCCTACAAGGACGACCTGCACTGCGAGCTGCTGCCCTACGACCTGGTCACGCAGATGTCCAAGATCATGAACCAGAAGGAGGAGTACTGGCAGGCACAGCAACGTCTCGACCTCAGCGGCCTGGAGTGCTTCGCCTTCAACTACGAGGTTAAGTGGCCCGTCTCGCTGGTGCTCAACCACATCGCCATCTCCAAGTACCAGATGCTCTTTCGCCAGCTCTTCTACTGCAAGCACGTGGAGCGTCAGCTTTGCAAGTGGGTTTCTTGTTCTTGTTCTTGTTCCCCCTTCATCCGATCATCCCAAGTACCCGCTGATTATATGCATTTCCGCTCTTCTTTTGTCTGCAGGATTTGGAAGGAAAACGCTATTGCCAAAAAGTTCTCGCCGCAAGCGGCTGAGCTTTATCGGTCGGCTTTCACGCTGCGCCAGCGCATGATGAACGCCATCCAGAACCTGGAGTACTACATGATGATCGAGATTATCGAGCCCAACTGGCACATCTTCATCGAGAAGATGAAGAACGTGGAGAATGTGGACAACGTGCTGCGCTTGCACCAGGACTTCCTCGACTCGTGCCTCAAGAACTGCATGCTGACGGAGTCCTCGCACCTTAATCGCGGCATTTTCAAGCTGTGCAAGATCTGTCTCAAGTTCTGCGAGTTTATCCAGGTGAGTCCGCCATCGAGGCGCTATCCAAATGGCTAAGTTATCCCGCCGTACCCGGCGTTATCCCGCTGCTTCTCCTGTACAACTTTCTTGTCTTGTTCTTTGCTCTGCTTTTAAACACTCTGTCTTTTCCGTCTACCAATGCCCCAATTCCCATTCCAATGCCGAATCCAAATCCGAATCCGCCTTCTCAGCGCTCGCAGCGTTTCTTCCTGGACGCCGAGCTCAAGTCGATGGTATGTGATAGCACCTACGACAGCGCGGACAGCTCCGATTCCGAACCGGAGAGCTCGCACCGGCCCCAGGTATTGTGTAGGCTTGTGCTCACCTTATTCGTTTCAGTTTCTGCGATTTGTTTTTGGTTGTACTTCTGTTGGCGGTGGCCCCCGGTTCCACTTTGCTCCCAGGGGAGTCTAGATGGATCGCATGTCAGCCTGACCCCTATTCAAAATAACCTTCTTATTTCCATGATTGCATGTCCTTCTATTTTGTTTAGTGATATTTGATTTCTTAACATTTATAATTGGTTACTCCCGTTCATAAGTGCATGAAATTAAATCAAATCGTAATAAGTTTCTTTTTACAAATAGAAGCAATTTATTTCGTAGTTTCACCCACACCAAGTACAACAACATTAGATTGTCGTTTGATTTATGCCCTCAATCCTGCAGTTCTTATTACGAAGATTTCTCCGTAAGAAACATCATATCCTATCGTTTTAAGTTTAAACCAACATGGCATCATCAGTTAATCAAATTTAATAATTACATTTTGTCATAAATGTCAGGGTAAATATGCTTAGGAGGCAATTATTTGTTCAGCTTTATTGATCTGAAACCAAATAAAATTAAAAATATACTCGAAGTTGGTAACATATCCTATAGTTTGAATATTTTTTAAC